AACCATGACTCAGGCTATGTGCCTTCGTCATCAAAATTGACAAAGTTCAACAACAGTTGAACTGGGACTCAGGCTACGCGCCTTCGCCATCAAAATCAACCAAGTTCAACAACAGTTGAACTGGGACTCAGGCTATGCGCCTTCGCCAGTAAGTTCAACTACGGTTGAACCATGACTCAGGCTATGTGCCTTCGTCATCAAAATTGACAAAGTTCAACAACAGTTGAACTGGGACTCAGGCTACGCGCCTTCGCCATCAAAATCAACCAAGTTCAACAACAGTTGAACTGGGACTTAGGCCACGCGCCTTCGCCATCAACATCGACGAAGTTCAACAACAGTTGAACTGGGACTCAGGCTATGCGCCTTCGCCAGTAAGTTCAACTACGGTTGATCCATGACTCAGGCTATATGCCTTCATCATCAAAATTGACAAAGTTCAACAACAGTTGAATTGGGACTCAGGCTACGCGCCTTCGCCATCAAAATCAACCAAGTTCAACAACAGTTGAACTGGGACTCCGGCTACACGCCTTCGCCATCAAAATCAACCAAGTTCAACATCAATTGAACTGGGACTCAGGCTACGCGCCTTCGCCATCAAAATCAACCAAGTTCAACAACAGTTGAACTGGGACTCAGGCCACGCGCCTTCGCCATCAACATCGACGAAGTTCAACAACAGTTGAACTGGGACTCAGGCTATGCGCCTTCGCCAGTAAGTTCAACTACGGTTGAACCATGACTCGGGCTATGTGCCTTCGTCATCAAAATTGACAAAGTTCAAATATGGTCGAACTATGACTCAGGCCACGCGCCTTCGCCATCAAAATCAACCAAGTTCAACAACAGTTGAACTGGGACTCAGGCCACGCGCCTTCGCCATCAAATCTAGGCTACGCGCCTTCGCCGNTTAACCGGAAGATCCGTCGGAAGAACGTTTTGGGAAGAAATGCCTGCCATTTTTGATACAATAACGAGAAAGAAACAAGGTTCGGGGGACGAAGACGAAGGTGAAACAGCAGTAAGAAAAGCTTCTTCAGAATCTCTCTTAGACAAGCAATAAGAATATGAAAAATGAATGCCTCAGCCTTTATTTATAGGCAACACAAGTGGCCTTCATGCACCCCAACAGCTACCATTAACTACATGACCAACCGCACATCGGTTCGATTCCATAGGAATGTGCGTCATTATGACAGGCTCCATAAAGCAGCCTTGCAATCACCCGTCGGTGTCTCGCCCTCGAAATGGTTATAACGACCTATGAATGCCGAGGAGGTGCTCCTTGCGCCCTAGAAATTTTTTGACACCGCCAAGCACGTATCAAGCGTGCCCTCATTCCCCTCGGCTGCACAACATACGACCCGTCCGCCATGGTCGACGGGTATGCACCCAAAACAAACGTAAGGATCAGAGCACAATGCAGCTCGACCTCACTCGAAGTAAGTTAAAAGCTCAAGCGCCTTCGCCCAGGAGGAGAGTTCGACCTCGATCGAACGATGACTTGATAGCCCAATAACAGGATACTAATACTCTACAAGGCTAAGGGCCATCGCCAAAAAGAATTCGGCCTCGACCGAAGCAACAGTCGACCTCCCCATCCGAGTTTCTCAAACTATAGTCAATGGAATCCACTCATCAAGCTCGGCCAAGGCCCGACCTCAATAAGCGGAAGGACTAACTGTATGGGTCAGAATCCGACCCCACGATAATTAACGAGGCTAATCCCGTCTTAAGCTAATTCATGATTAATTAGTGGCACGACCACTCAGAATTAACGATATTCAACCCGCATCTGGTTCGATCAGCAAGGTCATGGTCTATCCGCCACCATAAAGGCGAAATCCCAACGTGGTCACGGCCACTTATTGCCAGCTCACGAAGCTCACAGCTATAAATACCAAGAGAGGAAACCCTAGAAAAGGGGGCTTCTTCTGGGCCACGATTGAGAGAGAAAAAAGAGACAACGATACCCAAATTATGGGCAAGAGGAACACCATTGTAAGGCTCTGAACCTCTTCATGGAGAGGCAAACCAAACCAATATTATCAATAAAGGCTTCTAATGTTTCTCCCCCTAATCCTGAGTACTTATTTTCGTTTCTTTCATTTGGTCCAACGGATTATTACAGTTTGCAATGATTTTTCCGTGATTTATTCGTATTGCTTTATACTCATAACGTATGTAATAACTTTTGAGCAAACAGATACAACACCCAAAAATATTCCATCAATTTTTTGAATCCTCCAAACATCATAAACTACATTAAAATAGTACCACGATTTTGCAATGGCAGCATAAAATAACTTCTAATAATGCAAATTGCAAAGTGAGGCAGTAGAGGGAAGGGAGGAGAGTGGCATTGCAGGGAGGCAGAGACAAATTGTTAAGTGAAAAATGAAAAGAGTGAGAGGGAGAGAGACCAATACTTTTAGTTCACGATCGAAACTATTTATATTCGATAGCTGCAAAAGTGTATAAAATTTATATATTTTTTATATATAACATAAAGAATATACTTTATTTTATATATATACATACAAAAGAATATACTTTTTCGACTATTATTTTTAAAGCGACTATACAGTGTCATTTTTTCTTAAAACTTTCTTCCATAGTCCAATTTTGAAGGGATTGAAAATGCAATGGGCTCTGAAACAAACTTGAAAAGGGAATTTAATTTTCAACAGGTTATTTCAGTAGTCAGAGGTGTACTTTGACAATATTCAAGGCTGAAAGTTAAAAATAGTCAGATTTACAAGTGGTCGTTCAAAAATAACCCAATTTCAAAAGTAATCGAAATTTAGCCACTTTTCATGTAAAGATAAATCTGAGCGAAAACTCTGTTCAAAATACAAAAAATACGCCAGTGTATTATGCTGGAGTTCCAGCATAATTATACTTGAACTCCAGCATATTATACTAGAGTTCCAGGATAAGTATGCTGGAACTCCAGCATAATATGATGGAGTTCCAGCATAAAAACACTAGAATTCCAGCATAATATACTGGAGTTCCAGCAAAGTATACCAGTCCAGTATAATATGTTGGAAGTTCATACACAAGTGCTCGAATCTCCAGTATATTATGCTGGAACTTTCCGTGTGTTGGAGTTCCAGCATAATATGCTGGAAGTTCATACACAGGTGCACCGAACTCCAGTATATTGTGCTGGACCGGTCTCTGTTGCAGCAAAATAATGGTTATTTTTCATTGACTTGATAAACGCTGGCTATTTTTGAATGACCAGTTCAAAATTAGCTAGACCGTGCTATTTTTACGATATTCAATCAGCCAACACCTGAAGAACGGTTCACAAGCCTATGAGAAGAAATCCCGCGACTTCAAAGACCAGGCTTATGTGTAGAAACTGGACCACTTAGATGGCATTTGGTGAAAATTTTGAGTTCACAACCAAAAAAAAGAAAAAATGCGTCCATGAAAGCATTTTTTTCAAACACACACCACTTTATCATACATGAGATCTTCATCAACCACTTAAGGGCGATCTGGTATATGGGATAAGAATGATAATAGCCTGTTTGGGCAAGTTTTTAAAATCACTTTATTTTGAGAAGTGCTTTTCTTAACAGTACTTTTGGTGATACGCAGTTTGTGTTTGGCTAATTAATTTGAAAAACACTTCTGAGCAGTAATTAATGTTTGGCCAAGCTGTAAAAGAATGCTTCTAAGTGTATTTTTCTCAAAAGTATTTTTCAAATAAATATTTCTGGAGAGAAGCTATTTTTTTCTGCTTTTCCAAAACTGCTTCTACTCAAAAACACTTTTTTTTTTTCTAAAAGTTTGGCCAAACACTTCAATTTTTTTTTTAAAAAAAAAAACACGTTTAAAAAAAATACTTTTGGTCTTGGAGAAACTTTGGCCAAACAAGCATTAATTCCGGGATAAAGTTGCATCCATGAAATAATTTTCTCAAACATACACCACTTCATCAGAGATGAGATCTTCATCAACCACTTAAGGGTAGGTTTGGTACATAGGGTAAGGATAATAATTTCGTTATAAAGTTGCATCTTGAAATCATTTTCTCAAAACAAATACCACTTCACCAACCACTTAGAGTCGTTTGGTACATGAGATAAGGATAATAATTTCGGGATAAAGTTTGGGATTAACTTTATCCCATGTTTGGTTTGGAATATTAGCTAATCCCCCGGTAACTTTTACACTAAAATGGTGGAATTATACCATGTAGAAGGTGGGATAGCTAATTCCATCCATGTAGGGGTGTGCATTCGAATCGGTTTATCGATAAATCGAATCGATTATTTGTTATCGAAATCGAAATCGAAATCGAAAAAATCGAAACCTTATTGAAACGATAACGATAAGCATATGTATAAATCGATAATCGATAAGTAATTATCGATAAGGGTCAAAATCGAATCGATAAATCGAATGCACACCCCTAGACTGTAGACACTTGTTAAATGAATAATTACCTATTTGTGTAGATTAATATAACATACAGAATGTATATATATTCCGCTACTATTTTGAAAGCGGCTATACAATATTATTTTCCATAATCTATACCCTTTCCTTTACCCTAAGTCCCTTACCCTATTATTTCCTCTACCACATTTAAGGAATAATCATATTTAAAGATCAAGGGAATGAAGTTCAAATTAATGGAAAACAGAATTAGCCGTGATGATGTGTTTTGTTTTGTTTTGTTTTTTTATACCGTTGGAGTGTTGGTGGCATACATTTGATCCCTTACTTTAGTTTTGTTGCATTTGCTTGTTGACACAATTTTTATATTGTAAATGGTGTTCGTCTTATTTTAGCTTCTTTTTGTCCATATTACTTAGGCGCGTTTATAACGATATACTTTTCGTGGAATCCCGCAAATTTTCTTATTGGTGTAATCGATAACCGAATCGATAAGCCCCCAAAATTGATAAATCGAAATCGAGAAAATCGAAACCTTATTGAAACGATAACGATAAGCATATGTACAAATCAATAACCGATAAATAATTATCGATAAGGGTCAAAATCGAATCGATAAATCGAATGCACACCCCTAATTCCATGGGATATCCCACTGTTGCACCAAACAACCCCTTAAGCCTCAAATAATATTAAACTTTTTAGAGCTTCACATCTTTAATCTGTCAAGAAATTTTGCTACTCAAGACATCGTTGTGGCTAACATTAAAGCACCGCCGCAGGACCAGTGAATACAAGATTAGGACAAGTATCAAAATAGCTTGTACGCCTTGATTTGTCATACTGTAGGTGGTGCAAGGCTGATAGGTTTTCAGCAATAGCTAGAGCTGTGGCCAACTTCATTTCTTTCATCTACTTCATAAATTATGTTATTCAATTCAAAAGACTTCAACTGTGGCCAAGAGCTTCAATGCCTTCTATTGTGATAGCTGTGTGTGTGTGTGTCAGACTAAACTTTTTAACAATGGGAGCTTTTTAACTACTTCAACCAAGCCTTCGCATACTATGCCATGGCAATTTGCAATACCAAGTCTTTTCATTTTCCTTACCTGGTGAAAAACACAAAACTGAAACAACGGCAGAATGAAGCAAAATTACCAAACACAACGCCTACTACAGAAGTATAGTGCAAGCATACCATAGGATAAAACAATTTGCTACCTTAATTTATCAACCTTTAAAAAAATATATGCATAAAAGACAAGTAATATGTATCTCTGCAGACATGTTCTAGCAACAAAATAGTTCCTTTGGTGCTTTATTTATTATATTTCTGCTAGGGGAGTGTAAAAGAAGACCACACACGACGGTGCATTAGCTTTAACCTATTGATGAATATAGGGGGGAAGAGTGGAAGAAGGGAAGTGAGCAAATGGAACTTCAGAGGCAACACAATAAAAAAAAGCACTTGAGTAGGAGAATTTCTCGATAGATTAAACATGTTAAAGTGCCCTTGTGATGCTTTGATAGGTTTACAATTACTATTTTAGCCTTGGGGCATGCACTTGATGAATATAACATGTCTGATCAATACATTGGTTTTGAAAAGAACTAGTGATTCCTGTACATTAGAGTTCCAGTAACCTGGTTGTGCATTACTCAATAAAATTCAATCAGCAAACATCTGAAGAACTGGTCAAAAGCCAATAATTTGCTTAACTATCAGAAGTTGGATGTTGGAAATAATAATCAGGTGAATTTGAGTCGCACAGAACCAGCAGCCAAGCCTTTACCATTCTCTCAATAATCATTAATAGAGAAGAAATTATTCTGAACTAGTACAACGGAAGTAGCTTTTATACACAAGCTCAAAAGAGGAGAGTATAAAATACATAGCAAACTTAATTGGAGGGGGGTTCCAAAATCCTTTGAGGTACGAACAAAAGAAGAGCAAGAGTTATCTAGAAGTCGTAGAAGTCACCTTAGATGCAAAAGGAAGAGAATTACTTTGGTCATTCTAATTACAATCAGCTATAGATATATACAGAACTAAACACTTCACCTGTTACTGTAGCAAAAGGATGTCATGATAACGCAAAAGCAACCAAAACCTGCAAAATACCGCGCCTGTTCTGCATCAAATAACTATTTTGTTTTAACCCTTCCCTTTCTATATCTTGCGGTTGAACAGAACAAAACAAAAGATGGATGAAATAATGCTGGTATTCAAATCATTGGTTCTTACCATCAGTGATTTTCGGTTTGAATATGACCTTCGTAAAAGACAACATTTTCGTCCGGATACTTGCTGCTAAATGGATTTAGTCGTAGTAGTCATTATAATCATCATGGTCCTGATGGCCAACGCTGGTATCAGATAACCAATGGAAGTCATCATCAGATACAGAATAATCACTACTTTGATCTGAGTAGTCAGCACCACGAATTGAATGATCAAATATGTCAGCATCGAATTGATAACCATAAGTGGAATCATGAGGGAGCTTTAGATCGACAATCTGTTGTTTACATCTTCTTCCTAAATCCCCTTCAAGATTGAGATTATAACAGTGGCGTACATCCAGCGATTCAAGGTGTGGACAGCCATCAAGAATGGCCTGCAGGCCTTCATTTGTCAAGATATTTCCAAAGAGCATCAGGTGCCGCAGTTCAGGCATACTTCTGGCAACAGCTAGAGCTTGATCATCACATAGATAACGCGGAGGACTAAATCCTAGAAATCCATAGGCATTCGATGTAAATGACTTGAGTATAGGGCAAGAATGACCAATAACTTCCATATCATTGTGGCTAATAACAGAGAAGTATAGATGCAACTCCTCCAACAGAGGGAAGTTCTTAGCAGCTGCAGCCAAACATCCGAATAAGATACAATGACACCTAACAAGTCTAATATGTCTGAGCTGACTTGATCTGTTCAAAAGGTTTCCAAATTTGATTACTTTAAGAGAACTTTTATTTTAGTGGAGGTCATGAAAAGTAATGAGAAAGTATAATATGAAACAACAGCCAGAGCACCTTTAAAAAAAGTAGGTTACTGAACCATCAGTATAACGTGAACCCAAGAAATACAAATGAACTTAGCAACAAAAACATGGGAAAAGTGTAGTTAACCACCAAAATGCACAGGCGTAAAGCAATATAAATCCTCAATATGACACTATCACCAAAAAGCAGAGAAGTTTTTTGACATGAACAGAAGATGTAAAGCCACACTTAAAACGCACTATTCAGTTCCTCCTTCCCCTGTCACTCTCCTCTTTCGTTACCTTCTTTCTTCCTAGTAAATTCTATATTTGTGAGCAAATGAATTGCTGCTTCATCTGCTCCTAACATCAGCTACATCTTAGCACTTCATCCAGCATTAATCATTTCCTCCTTCTGACTGGCTAAAATGATAATCAGAATATTACTATTTTCTGCTTTGTTCTTTCTGCAGAAGGGATAAAGAGGAGACATACCACTTTACTTCCATTATAGATATAAACCGAGTTTAGCGGGCATCGGACATACCAATACCAGCAAACTAGTTCACACTCTGCAAATTAGCATTTCTCATTAACGTTCTCGTAAGCCAAAGAGTTGTCATTTTCTGGTTACTTATCAAAGAAAAGAGTCCTTTTTGGTTGTCCCAACTTTTGTAATATTTCTAGGAAATCCTGTTTCAGCTTGCCCCTATTCTATAAGCTCCTCCAGATGTGTATGATCTTTAGGGAGGGTAATCACGAACTGCAACTTACTCAAAATTTGAATGATATTAGCTTAAACATTAATGTATGATGTTTCTGTATGTACTAGGAATGCAATTGTATCAAGCCCTTAACACGTACTTCAGGCATGAACTGACATTCACTTGGAAATGTTGGGTTAGGTACTGGCAGAAGGACTCGAGCACAAATAAATAAAAAGGTGTTAGGCTAAGGAAACTGGCAAGCCAAGATCCCTTATTCAGTAAAAGTAGTTTTACATTACATACACGTGCATCCTTTACAAACCTTGCAACGTACTTCCTTCTTAACCGCATGTGTAGATTTCTTTTTTCTTATAAGGTGTAGAATGCTGGGTTTATCTAGTTGTATTATAATAAATGATGGGTCAATCTAATATTGGAGCAATAATCTAACAGCCAGAATATATCAGAATGTAGACAAACTTATGGTGGGAATGAGGCCTTTTCTTCTTCAAGCATCTGGTTCCTCTCCTTCCCAAAATTGCATTTTTCTCCTCAATCATCAGGGAAGATTTTTGTCTTCTTCTCCCTGACTGTTTTCTGATTCCCCTATTCATCTCTCTGCCAAGCATCTCTTCTTCTTTATGTAAAGAAACTTAAAAATCCTCAAGGATATCAGCTGTAATGCTATTAATCTAAAATCACGGACTCCAGACCCTCCATACAAAGGAGGAGTTGAAAGAACAGCAAATTCCAAAATCTTGGTGATTTCACGGTATGCCTACTGCATTCACTAAATATTTGCATTATTATTTCTTCTTCTTTTTTTTGTTGCTCATTTGCATGATAATGATTCGGAGATCTTGCAAAGTGGAACCATGCAGTACCAAACACATAATTGATCTTCCAAAGAACAAGGCCTTCTCGAATAAGCCAATTCATTTAGTACCCTACAGATCCACTCTTTTTCTTATTCAAAGATCAGCCCTTGGCTCTTTGTTTTCATATCAAGAATTGTCAACGGGGCTTCTCACTTCCCAAACAGATCCTCTTACATCTAATTACAAACCAAGAATACGCAAGAAAAATACTTCGAATTGTTGATTTATTGTCAGAGATAAATAGTTCAGTATCTAATGGAAAACATTAAAACTAGAAACCAAACAAAAATCCTCAATATTAACATAATTTCATCATTTTCATAAATGTTCTAGGGAACTGTAATATAGCTTTTCATGATAACTGTTTCAGCATTACATCGGAACTTGGAGTTTAAACACGTGGATTTCACATTCTTAACAACAGGACAAAGCTCGAAGAAAGAAGCAAATTTCAAATCAAGCTCAGATTTGACCCAAGTACATGATATATAGGGATTTCTGAGTTCAAATGATACAAGTTAACAAATAAGAAGGAAGCAGTAGAAGAAGAAGGCAGAAGAAGAAGCAGCTTAGCAGTTAAAGCTGTAACCGAAAATCTGAGTTGGCAGCTGATGTGGCAAAGTTAGTTACAGCAGTTATAGTTAGTTAGAAATTAGTTTACAAGTTGTATTTCTAGAATCTTCAGCTGAGCATATATAGTTACATGAATTGTAATTGCTGGATACTTTTGAAAGTTAATACACTCTATTCTCTCTAAACTCCTCTCTCTTGAGCTATACTCTCGCAATTGCTGAATATAGCCACCACCTTCTTGTTGTTTACATCAAGGATCCACCTCGATTCAGCTGAATAGTCGTCGTACTTATTAACTATGTTTATTGCTTGTAACAAATTAAGAGTTAATATCAAAATAGTTATGGAAGTTGGCATCTAAAAAGGTACGCGTAGAGGTTTACAACAGGAACCTAGTGATCTATTTGCCCCGGGGGTTTTGGACTAACGGTTAGAGCACAACACATGATGTGTTGGTTAGGCGCACATCACTAATTTGAACCTTGCTGCAAAAATCCTGGTAGTATTTAAGCCGGGTTGGTTAAATGCTGTTAATGAAAATAGTAATTCATTATTTTTAACAATAGGTCCTGGAGATTTAATTGGAGAAAGGTAGAGGGACGGTCACGGCCTCATTACCAACTGAGTTTCGAACCATACACCATCACTTTTTGGGGATTTCTCCGTTATCTAAGAAAAGAACCTAGTGATTCTTTCCACTAGATTTAAATAGGGGGCAACAAATCAACGGCAGGGAAATGGGTGGGATTCTAAGACCTTTGGTCCCTGTAAGATCAAGGATAAGTCCATTCCCACAGAGTCATATAAATAATGCTTCTGGCCCTTGATCTGTTCATAAAAACCCACTGAAGGTATATCTAAAAGTTAATAATATGAACGATTCTTGTTAAAAGCTTGCACTTTTGAAGCCCCTCGCGTTTGAGTAAAGCAGCAGCCCAGACATAGATCGTATTAAGCGTTTAAATTTTACTAGATTACCTCAAGCTTCACGGATTAAGCAAGACTTAACAATCACTGCATATGCTCTAATTTTGGAGCTAGAATTCAAGATAATTTATTGTTAAGAGAAGTGATTTAGACAATTTTTATTGTACCTCTCAGCAATATGGTTGAACAAGTCGATTTCGCCAATATTCTCTATGTTAATTTTGAGTAACTGGCCTTGGCTACGATCCACGGCGACCTTACACATCTCAATCTTATCCAAGTCATAGCGCAAGTCGCTATTTACATCATTTATCATGTTAATGACTCGCCACATAGCGGGGTCATGGCACACCTTCCACCACGTACTACAAACTCTCTGAGCATTGTTCAGTATATCTATCACTCCCACCCGCTGCAAAATGTCTTCCGTGATTTCCAGAGGAAGCTCCACCCACGGCGGCGATGGCGGTGGTGGTGAGGAGCGAGATGATGTGGCTTTTAGGTTCTTCTGTTTGGCTCTCCGTTTTTTCTGCTTACGCCTCTTTGGCCACGGCATTTTCTTTTCCTCCGCATTTCTCAAGGGTTTTGCCTTTAATCTATATATATATATATATATATATATATATATATATATATATATACACACATATTGTGTCCAAATTAGCAAGACAAAGGAAGCTCAAAGAAATTAATAAGAAGAAAGAAAATGCCATCAAATTAGTCTCAAAGGGATACCCACCTTCAAGACGAGCCCAAATCTGTCAAAATAATTAGCCCATGTAGTCAAACTCTTTTTGAAAACTAATGAGCCCAAATATAACCTATCAGATTTTCTTTTAAGCCCAATACGCCTAGTCCATCTAAAAGAATCCTCCAGAAGCTCTTATCTCGGCCGTAGGATTAAAATAAAATGATCCAATGATCCTCCTTTCTTAAAATTTAGACCTCATCATATTAAGATTTGCTAGGGTTCCCCCATCTCATTCTGGCCGCCATCTTTGTCTTCTTCCTAATCCTTTCTTCTCTTGGACAAAATTTTAACTTGCTTTTACCATGAAATCAGAATGGTTTCACCATTCTCATCAAAGTCTTCATTGTCTCTCTTGCATATCAAATGAAAAGCTGAAAACTGTGGTATCAAAGTTGACAAATCGCTATCTCACTGAAGCAAGAGGACGATTTTGTTGATCTTCTTTCTGTTGCAGTTTGGACGGATCTTGAACGAACAATTTTGAATTTCGAAAGGATCTTTCAATTTCGCTTTCAAAACCCTAGTTTTCCTCTATAAATACTCATCAACTCTCCAGCCGAAGGATCATTGTGGAATCCTCGAAAATAGTTAGAACACGGCAAAATCAAGTCAACAAGTAACTCTCTTCTTTTCTGTAATCTCGGTCCTGTTTAGTTTGCTAAAAAATAGAGTGTCGATCTTGCTACGTGGAGAGAGTAGATCCAAAATCTCAAAGTTCCAGTTCATTGCCCAACAAGAGGTAAAATCCGACTTTTTAATTATGTTCTTTCACTTAAGGGAATCGTATTTTTTGCTTAGAAAAAGTATGTCTTAGGTTTATGATTTATCTATTTTAGGAAATGTACAGATAATATTTTTTGATATTAAAGTGGTGTGAAGAATTCACATTTTAAGTCATGTTGTATTCAAATTAGCTTCGTTAAAACTTTACTGACCAAGCCATGCTATTTGCTATTGTCCTTGACGATTCGAAGAACTGATGGTGTTCAAATGTACTAGAAACTATATCCCTAGAAAAATTAACTTTATGACTGTTTGTTCAAATACTTGATTGACGACTGTTTGACGAAATGCTTGTATGGATATATAAGTTTTT